CTGACCTGTGCACTTGATATATGTGTGCAGTGGAGTAAATACGATTAGTGGCGTCGCATTGTAAAAACAATTAAGCCACCTACTAAATAACATGCAAGGACTAAAGTCAATAAATAATGAGTAATAGATGCAACTGAATGCTGAGTAGATAGTTAAATCATGTTTATAAGTACTAATAAACCTAATCATATTGAAATAAAATCAGTTGCGGAAACCTCTGACGACACTGGAAGCGCAACACGGCCGTAAATATGCTTTCACGATTATCTATTTAGCATACCATACTAACTTCCTTTCTCTTGTAGCTGTTTGTACTTGTCTACGACAACTCAGACTATCAAATAATGAAAACAAACATTGCGGGCACGCACTAGTCACTGTAATACCTTATATGAGTTATCCTCTAATGCTCTTGGTTAAATAAATACGTCATTTTAATGATATAACGGTATGTAACCTTTCTATTACTAAAACGATAACTAGAACTAAAAAGGACTTGATGAGTCAATGCTAGCAATTACAGACGTGTATCCAGTACCGCATCATCTTCTTCGTAATCTCCTGTTGAATAACAAAGTAACTCATTATCATGATACTTTAGTTAACATTGTCGCCTAAAACAAATAACCAAGAGTTTTGGAGTAACGAAGAAATATTTCCTCTACCCAGACTGATAAACGAGAACTTAATGCTCCAAAACTTTGAATTTTGGCGAAAATGGAGGGTGGCAAAACATACCTTCGTCTGCAATCAGCTGCTGCTGTCGTGAAGATTTATCTTCCGCGGACTCATCAGCCTGCTGTGGGGAGTCCCCACATGCTCCTTTTGACTTCTCGTCTTCCAGTTGCTTTTGGTTGGGTTTTTCATACTCTCCTTTTGGCTTTTCAGTTTCCAGTTGCTCTTGTTTAGGTTCCTGATTCTCTCCTTTTGGTTTTCCTTGCTGCAGTTGGTCTTTCATAGGTCCTTCATGGTCTTCTTTTGGTTGTTCATAATCCAGTTGCTCTTTCTTAGAATCTTCATCGTCTCCTTTTGGTTTTTCTTGTCCAATTTGCTCGAGTTTAGGATCCTTATGGTCTTGTTCTCGTTCTTCTTGATCACAATCAGCTTGCTGCTTTTCGGTTTCTTCAGGGTGTTCTTCTTTCTCCTGCTCATCTTGTTCATTTTCCTCTTGTTGCTGTTCACTTTCGTTTTCATTTCTTTTCGACTTGTTCTTCTCTTTACTTGCATCCTTTAGCTCATCAGGCCCTGCATGGTCGACGTTCGGTTCTTTTTCTTCTTGTTGTTGAGTGCCCTGTTGTTTGGATTCCTGGTCGTCTCCTTTCAGCTTTCGCTCAGGTTTTTCATCGGCTTCATTTAGCTCCTGTTTTTCTCGTTGCGTCTCACTTACTTCTTTGTTTCCCTTTGAATCTGCTTGATGATCTTGTTCAACTTCCTGCTCTGTAGTTGGTTCTTCATGGTCATCTTTTGGTGCTTCGTTTCTTTTAGATTCAACCTGCTGCTGTTCAGTGGGTTCTTCTTCTCGCTCTGGTTCTTCGTCTTGTTCACGTTTAACTTCCTGCTGTTTAGTCGCTTCTTCTGGGCCTTGTTTTCGTTCTTCGTCTTGTTCACGTTCAACTTCCTGCTGTTCAGTCGCTTCTTCTGGGCCTTGTTTTGGTTCTTCGTCTTGTTCACGTTCAACTTCCTGCTGTTCAGTCGCTTCTTCTTGGCCTTGTTTTGGTTCTTCGTCTTGTTCACGTTCAACTTGCTGCTGTTCAGCGGCTTCTTCTTTTGTTTCTGGGATTCAAAAGGTTGTCAGTGGGTTCTTCTTGGCCTCGTTCTGGTTCTTCGTCTTGTTCACGTTTAACTTCCTGCTGTTTAGTCGCTTCTTCTGGGCCTTGTTTTCGTTCTTCGTCTTGTTCACGTTCAACTTCCTGCTGTTCAGTCGCTTCTTCTGGGCCTTGTTTTCGTTCTTCGTCTTGTTCACGTTCAAAGCTTGTTCATCTCTGGGAAAAGGTTGTTCATTGCCTTCTGATCTTGCATGGTGCTCACCATCTCCTTGTTCTTCTTGCGATTCATCCTCACTATCGTCAGTGCTCCCCACTTCCTCTTGGTTTTGTACTGTGTTCAATAAAATAAACACAAAAAGGGAATAAGGTTAAAAAGTGTTTCCTCAGGTGGTTGTAGTTGGCCAAATCGCCAAATTTGTTAAACGAACTACACCGTGCTTTTTGCATTTGGTAACCGCATCGTGTAACTTCTCCGTCCTCAATCATTTACGCTCCGCTTTTACTCTTTCCGAATATCTCTTTGTGGCTTTGATACCTTATTAAAACCATTATTTGAAAACTTTTCACGGTCGACCAAACAAGTAGCCTATGTTGCCGTGCGTCTGTTCATTCATAGATAACATATGACGACAAAATGTGGTAACATCAAAAATGTGGTGCACTGGACTCAGCCGATTAAGTCTCCGATGTTCTTAGCCCATTTCGATTTTTTATGTGAGTGTTTTATGACAAAAAGCGAAATATTGTTAGTGGTGAAAAAATCTATAAGTCTTCCCTCCACTAAATAATAATTGAGAATCAGTCAAAGTAGGATTAAGCATATTACATAAAGAAAAATTACAGTAATTAAATTGACTCAAAATGTGGTTGTCTGTAAACTTCAAACTGGAGGCTAAATTACTTTTTACGCGTTTCTTATAATGGCAAAAAGGTCGAACCGAATTGCTTCAAAGTTACAACAATGCTTTTCTTTGGCTTTTCTGTTTTGCTCTTGGTTTTTGAATGCTAGGTATTGCGTTCTGAAATTTGTTTTAGTCTGTGGAGAAGTGAATGGTGCGTACCTTCTTCGATGACTCTCATCTCTATTCCCTGATCTTGAACTGACGGAAAAATACAAGCAAGCGGACAAAACATCAGCAATAACAAATTATTCATTCATGAGGCAACGTCATTTTTATCATTTGAGGTTGAGTCAACCTATGTGTTGAAATGAAATACTCAAGCTCACGCGCCACTAAATACATAGATCTGTTTGTTTCTTATTCATATGGGTAACCAAAAAGTATCTCTTGGCTTACGAGCCGATCTGATTGATTAACCCACGGTATATCTGCTCTTAAACCTGTTTAAAACGTAACTTTATGGCATGAAACCAAAAAATTAAAGAACGAGAAAAATACTCCCCAGAATGATGAAAGATTATTTAAAGTGTCAAAAATTACCTTCAACATCTTGATTTCGGCCGAGTTTTGCCACCAGATAATCCCACAATGGTTGGAGTTTGGCTCTGATGACTCCTCGGACCTTAATACATCGAAACAAAACACGAGGTTATAATCAGTAAATAGTGCTTCCTCACCAGTTTTTAAACCCTTCGAGTCTTTGATTTCCCCAGGAATGCAAACTACGTTTGCGCAGCTTTCCAGCCACTCTCAAACCGAGTGCGATACAATGAAAACGTGCACGTTTTACATACAGAAGAGAGTTCTGAGGCAAAGGGATCTCAGAAATGGCGGAAATCAAGTTTACCAGCTGATATAAAATACGGTAAAATTATACACAGTGAGACACTTCTTGGCGGTTTCGTGTTTCACTTATTTATTCTTGTCGAATTTAGATGTGATCTGTGATCTGAGAGACATGATATAAATGCAAAATTTAACTTATTGGCTGAATATATACTTTTCCAACCGCTCAAGTTGAGAGTACATGTACCTGTGGGGTAGACAAGGTGTAAAGAATGGGATTGATGGCAGAGTTCACCGGTAGAACAAAGACTGCGATCCAAACTGCGAGGTCACCAGGTGTACGGAAGGATTTTTCCAAGAGAGACCTCATTCCAATCGCCACAATAGGCAGCCAGCAGACACAGTCGGTAAGAACAATGAAGAACACTCTTTTGGCGAGCGAGGCCTCCCTCCTTAGATCGGCTGCCCTTGCCTTGGCTTTCATTCTCCTCTCTCTTTCGGTCCCTTGCTTAGCCATGCGCCTGTTTGATGCGCAGGACTTATAGATTATCATCGCATATGCCACAACGACAAAGAGCACAAGGGTAAAGTTTAAACCCACAAACATGGCAACAGAGTACTCCCAGCCCGACGGCTTATCTGTGGAAAGCTGCAATGGCAGACATACAACTGATCTGCCATAAAAGTGATGACCTTTCTGGCGACTACCGAAGTAGTCGAAGCCCACCGTGGGAATAAATGCAATTATGCCACCAACAATCCAGATAAGGAAGCACAAAAGGTGCGTAACCTTAAGTGTAAGGGACTTTCCCCGATAGGGGAACAGAACATTCTTCATCCGGTCGGCGGAGAGCAAACAAATCGTCATTACAGACACCTCACTTGACAACACGGCAATGGCACCTGTTACCTGACATGTCAAACTTGAACGCCAGTAATAGTCATGCAAATAATACTCCCCTGCCCAAATGGCATCCACCACACCTATAGTTAGGAGGTAGACACCCATAAGTCCATCGGACCCAGCCAAATGTATCAACATGATGGACTGTATCTTGTTTTTCTTCTTCGTCTCCCTAAACACCAACCGCCACACAATGACAAACACAGCACCAACCAACGACATAATTCCAATCACCCAGAGGCACTCCCTGGGAGCTCGATTTCTGAACAAAGTTTCACAACTGGCGAAGCTGTCGACATAAGCAAAGTCGCAATCTGCATCCTCCTTCGTCAAATGGCAACACATCAGGTTGGTGTCTACAGTCCTACGGTTCATAAAAAGAGTTCAGATGAACAACAAAAGGGAAAAAAAAAGACAAATTTGATCCCTCACAGGATCTAAATTTGTAAGAAAATGAAAGTGTAATAATAATAAAGTAAGCGCAGTATAACTGAGCACCGGCAAATGAAATTTTTCAATTTTAAACTCCTCGCGTGGAGAACATTCCACTTGACTTACGCAGTTATTAGATTCTTCATGTTTGTAAAGAAACCCTCCGGTAGTTCTCGCATTTCGTTGTAATGGAGGTACCTGCAAATTAAAGGAAAGCAATTCAGGCAAACTTTGCTCGCTAATTCTTGATAACATCGACATCTTTAGCCTATTAATCACAACCATTACAAATTCCTGAAATGTTATTGGTGCATCCGCAGCTTCATTTTTCACTAATCATTCTGTAAAGTTATAATAGGACAGTTTAATCGGACAGTTGGCTGCAATCGGAAACCTGTAATCGGACAGTTGAAGCAACCAATCGTACTAAGTCCACTCAGCTAATCCACCCATCACAGAAATGATCAAAATAATCACAGCAACAACCACTTATCCAAGGGAAAAATGGGGGATTTCCAAAATGGAGGAATTTTTAACTAAAGACATTGTCTCCACTGGAGATATTTGTTTTAAGTGCTTTTTTTTTTTCGGAAATTCAAATGGCTATGATTAATTGGTAACAGGACTTCTTGTCGTCCAATTCTGTCCTTAATCATACTCGTGATTAACAAATCGGACTCTCGCCTCGCGGTCGTCCGATTTTGCTGATCACTTGTATGATTACAGACCGAATTGGACTCCACTCAGTCCTATTACCGTTATGTATTAATCAGTTTTTCGGCTCTCTCTTGTTCCTTTTCCTTCCCAATTCTCAACAACTATTCGATAGAAAACTAAAACAGAAGACGAGCAATTTGTCATTGAGTGTGTACGATATACTTACACAGGCTATGCCAAAGTGACTTTATTTGTTATACTGATATGCTTTTAATACTGCAATGAGTATCTGATGCACTCATTTCGAATTTAGGATGGGTCGCTCATTACAGAGAGGGTACTTTATGCGGAGGGACCCTTCCTTAAGTTTTTCCCAGACTTTTTCTTGTGACCAGATATGATCGTCCCAAGGAGTATAACATTTGGGCGTAAATAAAAGTATAAACTGTGTATTAGTGAACAAAGCCGATCCTAACTTCTAGTATATCAGTGGTAGTATGTATGTGAAAATCGTTTACTCCAATTTCCCTGCCTAAGCAATTCGGCCAGTGGTATGATCACTTGTCCATCCTTTAAAATGGGGGAGGGGCGCTTATCCGTGAGTTTACGGCACGTGAAGGTCGCACCAACAATATCTGTTTCCCTTGAACTCGAAGTAGTTTGAACACACCTGGAATATTACCAGTTTACTCATACTCACAGGAATCGAATACTTGGGGCGACATCTTTGAATTGTTCGTTGCTAACGGTACGGATATTGTTGAAATAAAAGCTCCTACAGAACGATGAAACAATGAAAAGCGTAGAGCGTCAACTGACAAGCATTAAAGCGTAAATTAAAACAACACTGGACAGAAAATTAGCCAAGAATGGAAGGCAATATCTTCCATTTGTTCAAAATGTTCTGCAACGAGAAAAGAACCTCACCGTGCATTAGACAGTGGGTCATACAATAATGTCACATAAGTATTTTTACGAATTTTTACATTACTAAGAGCTTCTTCAAAGTCACAGTTAAGTTATCAAGAATGAAAAAAACATTCTCTATTTAGGTTCCAGATCTATTTCTATCCGCGTGGCCGATGCCGATTTAAATAACCCCATGAGTATTGTCATACCTATCCTCAAGAGGTTTTCGCGGTCGAAGTCTTTGTAAACTCAGTTTTTGAATCTGGAAGGGGATACCTTAGCAGGATTTTGTTTTTGGTGGTTAAAGAGACCTGGTGTTTCCCAAGGTTTTGTCTGATTTGCCTTTTGGTAGTTCTCTCTACCTCTAGTAAATATGATCTCTTAGTCAGCCTGTTTTCACTTTCACTATCGTAAATATTTCGTCGTCCATCACACATGGTTTTGATCATAAGGTATGATCTGTCCTCGGGGGTAGAAGATTGTCCATGTTTTTGGTGTGCAGCTTTGTGGGTCTCTTGATCTTCCCGAGCGGAGTTTGTCTTAGATAACGGAGATTCCTAACATTGCTATGATTGCATCTTCACGAGACCCTTACTAATTTTACAATACCTCGTTACCGTTAATAAGAGGATAGTTTAGAGACAGATACTTACATAGACATCATGTTTTTCATGCCTTTAAAAACTTCATGTGGCAGGTAGTCAATATTGTTTTCGTAAACAGCCCTAGAACAACATAGAGGGCACATCATTATTATCAGAAATGTAGAAAAATTTAGAGGTAAGCACGTATTTACATAAACTTCCTTCTTATCTTCATTGATTCTTAAATGCCCTCTGCCTACGATATCTTCAAAGCTATCCGATATTGAAAACATAATAAAAAGGTGAAAAAAAAAAACTCACAGCCAGGGATGCGTAAAAGTTACACTGATATGCAGTTTGCGGTTACCTCGCTGAAAATGTTAAAACTTAGCGCATGCTTATATTTGGACTTCTATAAAAAGTATTGTTTCACTGATCTGTTAATTTTTTTCGGGGGTGAGGGAGAGAATTGCTACATCTCTAATTCTCTTCTTTTCCTGTCTTTTTCTGAAGAAATCCGAGGTGGAAGTTACTATCTTGGATGGATGACAAAGAATCTTTTTCAGAATTCTGCTTGGGTTTCTGAGGTTCATCCAATCAAAGTACACTAGCTTCAAAATTTAGCGAAACTTTGGGAAAAAGTGGTGGGAGGAGGAAAGAAAGGTCTATTCGCCCTACTGAGTTGGTTAAGTACATATTTGGTCAAGAATAGTTACATGTGCAGTCAGATATGATTTCCATCGAATATTTACTTACAGTTCTTCCAGTTTGGACAGGCCTTGGAACTGATCAGGTGACAGGTGTACGAGGCTGTTGTTATACAGGTATCTACACAATAAAATGCAACAGACGCTCGGTATAATTACAGAGTCTTTGATGGGGGAGGTATTATTGACCTTAATGATATTTGGCAGCACAGAAGTGACTGCGAAACTTATTGATTCTTAAGTAACCTTGACTCAGCATAATCTTTTGAGGACCTCTAGAATAATTTAGTCCCGAACCCTGTCTCATATTATAGAAACTGTTTCATCCTTAATTAAAGTCAGTCGAGTTAAACATGCTTATTATGGAAACCTCCTTCGAAAGCGTATTAGCGCCTTGGTATTCGGCAAACTGTTCTACTGCTCATCAGTGTGCTCCAACACTTCCTGAAAAAACATCCCATAAATGTATTTGGACCAAAACGTTGCCACGTGTATTGTGACAAGAACAATTAAGTTCCATCGTGTTCCGCCTTCACCGAAAGGGCTATGCTGGCCGCCAGGTAAACAATGGTTAAACCTTAGTAACGCTATTGTGACATGTAAATGAATGATGTAAATGCATGAATGATCGGACGTGCACCCATTTATCTGGAAAACGTTTTGACATAGATCCTGTGTTTTCATTTAAATCCCAATTAACTCAATAATGACGAAATCGTTTTGAAAGCTGCTAAAGAATTTTAAAACCTTTTTTTTTTTTCATTTTTCAATAAAAATAACAATCGATCGTTAAAGTTTAATTTGGGTTAATCATCAATCATCAGCGATCATTTCTAGCATATGGTCCTTGTCAAGCCCCAAGGGGAGGGTGCTGTTAAAGTATTGTAGGGGATGTGTTGTATTATATTTTGTTCTATCACCTTAAACATTTGAACCCTGGTAATTCTTAGTTGATGGCATCTCTTTCCAAAGTGGATGTTTATTTTTAACTTTTTACTCAATTAACATCCTTAAACAAACTTTTAAGTCATAAGAAGATGCCAGAGAAATAGTCCGTATCCAAGCTGATCCTTTGATTTTGGCCAACGCTACCTTTAATTAATGCTCATTATACAAGACACGTACTGAGCCAGTTATATCACAAACGTGAATCACTTACAATATTTTCAACTCGGAGAGGTTTTTGAACCTTGGCAAGCGCTGAAGTTTGTTACTGGAGAGTAAGCTGTGAGCGATATATAAAATGAAAAAAAAGTCAGTTGAAATAGAATTTGAGATTCTTGGAAAGGTTCTTGTTCTCTCCGAATAGGCATGAAATAAAACCCAATTGGTTCTGGCAAAGCTATTTTGAAGACTTACAAAGTTCTACCCATTTTTGCTGAGTACATAAACTGTTTACTCCTGATCCTGAGAATTTAGGCAAAAGATACCATTTGCACATTAATTGTTAACATGGGCGTTTTCATATCATGACATCACTTTTCAATACTGATGCACCAAACTATAATAAGTCACTTACATCACAAATCAATCTTTACAGAGTTCCCTGGTTACTCAGCGAAAAAATTATAGTCACAAGTCACGTGAAGCAAAAGGCTGTGTGAGACAATTGAATTTAATATTGACCTCTTTTATTTTAGTTGTTCTCGATGACCAACTCCACCAAAGTTAACACTATATAAAGCCAGTTGAGCTGATGGAGTTTACTTTGATACGCTTCACGTAAGAGTCACAAATCTAAATTTGCGAAGCTCTGTTTCTAGAATGGTCATAATTCATTAATTTACTTAAAGCTCTATGGAAAACTGTACATTATAATTTGCTTTGCTGTGAAGTTTCTACTGAATGCCACTTACAGCTTTTCCATCCGGGTAAGGTTGCCAAAAACATCCATGGGCAGATGCTGAATTTCGTTGTTTGACAAATCCCTTAGAGTATTTATTGAGGTAAAGAGTTAGCTAGCTTTTCAAGAACACAAATTTTATTTGGAAAATAGGCTAGGCCTCCCCCTTAAACGTTTCTCTTAGGTGCCGGACAGGAGCCAAACCGGATAACGAACAATAAATACCAGTTGTTTTTACCAAATCAGGAAAGGAAAAGTTTTTCTGTCTGTCTTTAAAAACATCAAATATAATTAAGAATCTCTAGTGTGAAACAACTGGACTCAACGGACATATTTATTACATGCTTAAAGCTGACAGGCCTTTCTTTAAGACAATAATGGCAGAAAGACCTCGCGCATTAATGCGGCATCTATCGCAAAATAACACCTGATTCAGTAATTTATTCCAAATGAAGCCGCATTCCAGGCGGAAATACGCGAGATTTTCAAATAATTTTAAACGTTTAGGTTTGACCTGCTTTTTTTAAGTACAAAGAAAAGTCCTACGTACAATTCTTTCAGCTTGGTATTTGTGCTAAGTATCCCTCGAGGAAAATTCTGCAACTGATTGTAGGACAAGTCCCTAACATTTGTAGAATGAGATGATAATCAGTAAGAAAACAAACAAAGGAAAAAGAGAGTCCCAGATAACAAACTACATTTCCAAGGGACATATTATCAAGATCTTCCCCTACTGTGTGCAACGACTTTATTTGGAAGACATTGGGAAAGTTATCTTCAGAAGAATGTCAACTCAGTTATTTCAATCTTGGATAACTGTTTCGGAAAAAAATTCTTATCTGATAGAATTTATTCAGTTGCAGTTCATCAAGTCTTCTATCTAATCATCTAATTAATGAAAAAAGAGACCTATTTTTAAGTGAAATGTATTGGCTTAAACTTGTGAATAGGTCTTCACGTAAGTGTCTATCTCTTACTTCCGCCCTGTAATTTCTAACTTAAAGAATTCCTCTGAGAAAATAATCACATTTTTCGGTCCAATTTTTCTTCGCTTTTACTTTTTGTAAACAAATCCGCCTTATTCGACAATTCAACACAGTTATGATACGGACGGGTGTTGTGCGAGTTTCGTAGTACTATTTTCCGAGTTCCGCCAGGGCGAAGAAAAAGCAAGCAATAAACAAAATGTTCGATCGTATTATGTGTTAAACATCGAATAAGGGGTTTATCATTCCACTACTGTTTCAATTTTTAGTATTTTGGTTTCTGGTTTTCGAAATACATCCTTCGGCCTCATCTGAGCTTGGTATCGATCACATAAGGCCTGAGCGTTAGACAAATACAACACGAGAGAAATCGTCAAAGTGTTACAGTGAACAAATTACAAATTCTGGAGCGCTTGAAAAAAGTCAAGTTGTGGATCGTTCAGTGTGGCCATTTTTTTACTCTGCTTTCCGTCCGTATTTCCCTGTGTAACACTTAGCATATTTCGTGTGCTCCGTCGCCCTAGTATGGGCGGCGCAATTGTAAAATAATTATAATGATCACTTTAAGGGCCATTGCACTATTTTTCAGGCAGTTGTTCGGGTGAATTCAGTTGGATATAATTCGACGTTTTTGCTGATACTTAGCTAACTTTGGAAAATTATTGAAGTCCGTTAATGACGTCGACATGACACGCCCAATGTCATGTGACTCACAATAAAAAAAGGCTACGGTTCTCCTTAAGTAAAGGGTAAGAAACTGCTGCGCTTCTTGTGCTTCTTTATTGTTCTTGCAGCATCTGTAACGTCTTGTTGAACAGATGCACAACAAAATGGAATCCATTTGTTAGTGAGAAAGAGGGAAGAGGTAAAAATCGACGGCTCAGAAATGTTTCTTCTTTTTTATAACTTGCGGGGATTTAGTCTCCCCCTCTCCCCCTCTCCCCCTCTCCCCCTCTCCCCCTCTCCCCCTCTCCCCCTCCCCCCCTCACCCCTCACCCCCCTCACCCCTCACCCCCCTCACCCCTCCCCACCACCCCATAAAACCCGTAATCAGAGCAGCTCATGCATTCCTAATCACGTCCATTGACCCGGTAGAACGTTCGACTGAAACAACTCTACAATGGAGTATAATCACTTCCTTCATTAATATTGTTGAAATACCAGTTACCAATTTCATATAAATTTGAACAGTCCTGCTTTGAACTACTCATACACAACGGCACAACGCATCAAACTCAATGATCGACTGGTTCAGTTGAGAAGGAAAGGTTTTAAAACCACGTTTTGAACGACTTGAAAGCAATAGATCGCATACAAACGCAATGCACAAAAAAGAGATGTCCTCATTGCCAAGATTTACGGAAAGAAATATCGCAAAATTTTTACTTACAGTTCCTCCAAGGCGAGCAATCCTTGAAGAATTTTTGGAGGCAGCTTCTCCAGCCGATTGCCACTCAACCGCCTACATTACGAAAACGATAAAAAGATCTAAATTGACAAAAGATACACTAAGGGTGAGTTTCAGGGTAACAAATCGGTAATGGAATGTCAATTGATTCTCACATAAAAAAAATTGCAAGTGAGACAAAAGCAGAAAGCGAAGACTGAAAATAGAATTTTGTGTTAGACAGGGCATTACTATCTACAATTTCTTAAATCCTGTGAGGATCAGTTTGTCACTCATCATTATTCCTCTTTTTTTTTTACAGTTATTTAGTTTGAATGCGCCAAGCCTTTGACAATAGTCTGACAACAACTTTTCATTTGACTCGCTTTCGCTCGGAAACGACCTGCCGTCATTGATTAAAAGATTATCTGCTTATTAAGCTAAACCAGCAAACCCTCTCATTAAAGACCGAGATCAAATCTGATGTAATCGGTTTTAATTTAAAAGTTTTTTTTTGCTTCACCCTTCTACCGCCTTTCCAATTAAGAACGATTCAAAACTAGTATTGCACGCTCTCCTGAACGGGATCGCAAATTTCACATCAAGGCGTGAACTCTACTACAACTCTGAACGGCGTCGTTTTCATCGACCGCACAACTCTGGCTTTCACGTAAATCTTTCCATCATAGATTTTACTTTCTGTTCTTTTCACTTCTCCTTAACAAAGTTGAGTTTCTTAGATGTATGTGGTACCTTTCGGCACAATGTGAGGGTATTTCCGAGGTGATACGACACTGTAGTCGACTTCTGACAGAAATATAGTTCGTATATAGTTCGTAATAAAAACCGCCACTATCATCAACTCTATCCCCATTTTTGGTCTCATTTATTAGTTTACTATTAACACAAAGTCTGAATTAGAGCGCAAACTTTTCTTCGTATCCTTCACTTTTAGTTTATGGATGTTAATACAATTTCTCGTCCTTGAATACTATTATCATCATGTCGTACGCGTTAAAGAATGAAAGTGCAAACTATTCTTCCGAAAGAGCGCTGTTCTCCATATGCTTATAGTTCGCGGTCAGCGTCAGCCTCGCTATGGTACTTGCGCGGTTTCTTTTCCAAAATGACTCCGGGAATTAAATAAGTTACTCTTCGGTTTTTGCTTTTAACTCGTTTTTCTAGTCATCTAATGCACCACAACTAATTTTTGTTAAACAACATAGTGGTTCCAAAAACCTCGTAGTCAGCCTAAGGTAATATCGAATATTGCGCACGTTCATCAAGTCACGTGCCACAAAACACTACTCTCTAAACAAGCAGTGATAATTAAAAGATAGAAGCATTGTGTTAAACACCTTTGTTTGTCCTCTTGATCAGAACCTTTGATAGTTGAGCCTGCGGGTTACAGTGGAATTGTGCCTTTCAAATTATCGAAGTGTGTAACGCATTCGAAGTTTCCACGCTGAAATATTTTTCATTTCTTTAGTGCTGGTCATGTTTATATGTGAATAAATGAAAGCTAACAGGCTATTATGTCAGAGACAAATTAGAGCAAATAACTTGACAAATATTATTTTATAAGGATGCCAAATCACCAGCACTCACAAATATTTTAACTCATCTTGCCCAGTGAATAGATCTTCAGATAAGTTTTTTAAGTTGTTGTTTCCAAGCCACCTGTAAAACGCATTGGAGTTGAATACCATTAGTATTTGAAAAGACTTTCATTCTCTCTGCTGACTAGAGCCTGCAAGATGCTTAACTATTTGCCTGATGCTTGCATTGTAAACATGCCTCTCCTTTTGGAAAAACTACCGTACAAATGTGCATAAACTCATTGACTGCTTAAACAGCTCTTTTTGTTGTTGAGTCCAGCAGAGCAAGTACATCTACTCTTGTGTTTCTAATGACAAGCCCTAAGAATCCGCCTCGCAGGATTTAGTTAGTCTGGCGATTGACTAACGGAATTTGCTCAGGTGGATTTACACAAGTGCTTGCTGTTTGTCAAGTTTATTGGGTGGTTAGTATACATTTACATGTTCACAAAAGAAAGTTCGTAAAGGGTTTGAGTTAAAGAGGGTGAAACTATGAATAAAAGGACGACATAGGAAGAATAATCTAGCTAAGTCAGTGTTAGGAGTGTCAATGTAGAGCGGGGTTGTTCCTAGACAAAACTCAGGATCTTCGGTAACAACAACAAACTGTTTTATTTCCGCGTAGTTGACTTCTTGACTTTACAGCACTAAGCTTCTTCACAATTTTCGTTTTTTTCGATGAAACTATCGCTCTTATATACATAAAGTTCAAGGATCTAGAAACTTCTCCAACGAACTAAATTTAGTAAGTTAACACGGCTTCTAAATCTGTGTAATTGCATAAGAAATAGAACGTTCCAGAATGTTCTTATACAAGAAGGTCACGTCTGGATGACTTCGGGTTCTAGACTGTTAAATAGAATGTTGTAGGACTTAACTTAGACAACTTTTCGTAACAGTCAGCGACAGTCAACTTTATTAAGCTTTAGAGCAAAACACTTACAGATCATTTAACTTGAAGCGTTTGAATGTGTCAGAAGGAAGTGTCTCTAGTTTGTTGAAGTCTAAGGTTCTGCATAAAAGATAAAGTTATTTTCTCGACGGTCCTAAATTGTTCAGTTTGGAGCGTTTGAATCTCTTAGGATTCAGCCAAAGATGAAAACAATATGAGTGTTAACATTGGAAGCCAGAAATATTTGAACACAAGCGCTCATTTCTTGAGACTAAAAACGTGCAATGTTAAGAAACTAATTACAGTTTTCATTGCTTTGGCAACAAAGTAGATTCATTCCCCTGTATTTCAAATTAACTAGACCATGTTATAGTTCAAGTTCGCAAACAATTTCTTCCTACACAGATGGCACATCAAAATCCAGTGAAGGGGTTAACTGTTTTTTCCCGCCCATCAAAATCTTTCGATGCTCTTAGCCTATCAATCACCATGCCGGCCTCGCCAAAATTTATTTTCTTTCCTTAAAGATATCATAGAAATTCACCAGAACAAAAGGTCCTTCTACAGAAAGTAGCATCTTTTTGATGGGAAACTTTTAGAAGCAAGTATATTGTTTTTTTAACAGATCTTAAGCTCACTCCCTATGTGTTTCGTACCGCCCGTTATCCTCTCCACCGAACCAAAATACCCACAACTGAGAACTGGGCCCCGATAGACCTTAGTAAACCATTTCCTTATCTCTTGTTACATGAGAGACGTCTCGTTTTGTCGATGGATGTATTTAACTAATTTTAACGAGTCGAAATCTCAAAGGTTTTTTCGGGTTGCATAACAAACCATCCAGGGTTACTCTAATTTAGTTTGATTCTTCAACAGAGTGATGAATCTCTGAAACAAATTACGAAACCAAGCGTGAAAAAAATCAATTGAATAACGGAAAGTTGTTGAGACAGTGAAAGTTATTTCAAACTTTGAGTGACGGATCAACGTAATTGATATTTGCTTATCAACGTCAAATTTTATCCTTCGCAGAAAGTTTTGAACGCGTGAAAGTAAATAACGGTCTGAGGCTATGTTGAGCGCACTTCGCTCATTGTCACTTTTGCTATATAGGGCGATTGACCCTTCCCAAAAACAGAGGCTGGAATTGGAAAGTCATCGCGATTATAAAAGAATCCTTCGTTCCAGCAACTTTTTGGTTCCCAAAGCAAAAAAGACATGCGAATCAAAATGATCTTAATCATCTGAGAAATAACACTAAAAACTTGTTCAAACTCTCACATTAAGGTCAGAAAAACTTAAAGGCGGCGGAGGCTATCAACATTTCGGCATTGATTTCCATTTACAAAAGTAGCACCATGAAAATATCAAGAGCCATCGACAACGTTGCAGTCAGACTAAATAAAAATTTAACCTGGCCTGGCCGAACGAGGGTTGGTAGATGTAAAATTTCATATAAACGTTCGGTAAAGTTTTCTCCGCGAGGTGGGGAAGGGTTCTCTCGTGTACTCGAGACGATATAAATGGGGCCTAAAACACACCTGGTGAAAGAAAAGGTTGTAATACAATAAAATAAAGTATCCTAAATTTCCCATCAAGATTGAGAGTTGATGGTTTTATTTATAGTCCCCGTCATAAAGAAGGATCCGTGGCTTGAATTTTTTTAGACCTTAGATATGGTAGAATTACTAACTCGAGCGGAGAAAGATTCCTGAGCCACAAAACTTACAGGTTTTTAACTTTATATTCGTCCCTCCAAGTTATATGAGGCAGTTGATCAGAGGAAAAGTTCTTTATGTTGTTGTTGTTCAGGAAACTGCAAAGGTGAGAAGGAAACCGTAAGAATTAAAAAACAAATGGGTTAATCTGATTTACTTTGTACTGTTATTGCTAAGCTGAAGATAACAAGACTTGTAACAAGATCACACATGTTACTGACCACTTTACTGAATACGAGCTATAAGCGCTAGTGATAAGATGAGGCAGGTATTCTCTCTATCATATTCACTTCTGTTTTTAATATTTTTTTATCTTAATTATTTGCCACTTTATATCCGCATGGAAACGGAAATTTTTTGTACTGATTGCTAGTCAGGTAGAAGGACAGGTTACTGAGCGCAAAAGTTTATATGAACTGGACTAGTTTGCGTTGAAATCGTGATTTCGCCCGTGATACGTATCCAGAAATAATTTGGTGTGGTTAGGATAAGATTGCCTATTAATTTGAAATCTTGGTGATACAAGATCGCCATTCAGGTATCCATCGGCTATAAGACGACGGAATACATTCATCTGATAGCGAATCACGTCGAAGCAGAAATAAGCAAATTTCTCAAGTGGATAAAGACCACCATCATTAACTATCTATATCGAACCTGTAACCTTTCTTTTCTTTCCTTTTTTTTGTTTCATTTTTTTTTTTTAATTACTATCAGTTTTACTTACAGTTCTGTCAGGTTAACGGCATTCTTAACTATCCCTCGAGGCAAAAACTGAAACTCATTATAGGACAAGTCCCTAGCAATAAAATAAGCCGGGAGCGAGGTGAATAGAACAAGTCAAAAGTTGCAGTTAACAAAAGTTTTGAAGTAATGGGACAAATGTTCTCAACTAAAATAAGTTTTCAAGTGCTATAAATAGATGTTATGCCCACTATTATGTACATCGACTTTATTTGAACCGTATCAGGAAAATGATCTCGATATGAGTGTCGACTTTGACCTTTCCATCGAAAATTATTGTATTTCTCGTCAAATAAAATTTACTCAACAACACTTTACTGAATTTTAAATCAGACATGGTTTGACATAACCCTAGTTTAGACATTTAATGAATGTCACCGAGAAGTTACAATTTATAGACCCAAAGTTTCGACATTCCTGTCTAGTGCCTTCATCAGGGGTGATCTAATCGCTGCAGCAAGAGGTCATTTTATATGCTCACTAATCAGCTGCCCTTTTCTTGACGAGGTGTAAATAGGCGTCAGGTAGTAAGCCGCCATCACCAAGATTTAAAGGAGCGTGGGCGGAGTTGATATGCCAGGCTTCCAAACAAAGGCGATGGTGGTAACATCGATTAGTGATAATAATTTTAGACTTATCCCACCCAATTTGTCTTTTTTTGTTTGTCTATGCAATACACACTCCACTGTTCAGGTTCTACGTGTTATACCTTTATTGCTCCTCTCCGGTCCGGTGGTTGGTACTAATAGTCGTATCCTTTCACTACTTTTGCTTTGGCGCCAAGAATCACTTGGGGGCCTTTTTTTCCTCAGTTGCACCTAATCAAGATTTTTTTTCTTTGCATTTGCCCACACCAAGTCTAGCTTTTTCAAACGTCTAAACGATAATCCTGGCAGCTTTTCACCCCACCGAACATCCGTTATTCAACTATTTTTTAGCGATGTGTCAGGAGAGAGGGCAAAGGTTAAGTTCCTTGCGTGTGTTACTCGCGCTCGCCTGGAAAGCAGACGCAAAAATATACGATGCATAAGTCACTGTTTTGCTCTACAATTTAGTCTTGCTCGAAGCTAAGCGGCATGATCCCCGAAATTTTCTGTCCAGGTTATTCACACAAACAGAAAAAGCTCGACTTCAAAACGTCTCAACGAATTACTCTTATTGAAATTGGCAGTACAGTATACCCGCTGCATAAGTGAGACTGATGGTATGTCCTGGCTCAACAATGGTGACCTTTCTCAAGGGTAATCTGGGGAGCTCACCACTAGCTCGTAATGAAAGATCATTGAAGTAATCGGCGACCACGAGTTCTTCTTTATCCCCATTTTGAGAAAGATTGATCTGGTCTGTAAACCCCAAATTTCCATCTGAAATTTCATCATCATTATAAAAGAACCAATCTCATCGCCTCCGTCTCTGTCCCATTAAATTCTGTTGTCAGACCAAGAGAAAATAACTCTCTTGATTCAGACCTGATCAGCCAGTGTAACTTTCTCTAACCACATTTTCATTTTAGTTTGAAACAACAACTTCATTCCCGATATTAAGAACATTAGTTCTACTTATTAAGCAGTGCTGATCCTGCTTCGAACCCAGAACATAGTATAGGAACGTGAGTAGACTGGATATGCAAGAACCAATCACGATACGGGTAGAACAAAGCTCATCAGAACCAAAGTCTATGTTTCAATCCTACCTGCTTCTTTTCCTTTTTCCCTTTTTATCTCTCCTTTTCATGTATTTGTCGGTGCGCCTCGATATGTGTTTTGCATAGGAGCGGTTGTCTGCAGCTTCATAATTTGGCACCACCATATTTGAGATCGATTTTGATGTCGCGTGAGTGCACTGCTAATTTAGTCAACAGAAATGGTCTGTTGCTGCTGGTGACATGGCTAAAACCGCAAACGCTGGGCAAGGGGAGGAAGAATAAGTGTAGTTGGGGACTATGTAGTAATCATAAATTTCGGTTCGTGGCAAGCGCTTGAAACAGACGGTTAAATTTAGGGCTCGTCACACCCATTCAGGGAGCTGGCGCGATTTAGCCCTGCTCCACCCAAGTAGATTATTTTAAATCACGTGGACTTTTTCTTCTACGAACTGAGGCATACTCATGAACAATATTCCGACTTCAATTAGAGTTTCATTTATGTGTCGCTGAAACTTTTTTTGTGAAGCTTCATTGCATGGCATCATTTTCTTATGAACTTGAAGTGTTGATAGTTATGAAAAATGAATGCTATATTGATAAATAATTTACATTAGCCAGCAGAAGTCTAAATTCCACTTCCATTTGTGCACCTTCATTTTAAGCGTTCCCAATTGGCGTCTAAGTGGCGTCACTTCCTTTTCCGCGTGCCTTGCCTCGCGCGCATTTCTAGACACACCTTGTTAGTTAATGGTTTTTTACATATCTTCAATTCCTCTTCGTCCTCTTCACCATTTATAGGCCCAAGTTTCTGTGATCTTGAATCAATTCGCACTCTTTCTCAGACGATCTCCCTCTTCACAAAGTCATTTTCCACTAGGTGTCTCGTTAAGATAAGTTTATGACTGGTTTGCTCGTCAGTAAACTTCCTCCAAAATTGTGAGGAATCACATTGTAGGGAGGAGGCGTTGACTGGACTTGACATCACTCTCGAGCCTCGTGGAGGCGTTAACTACTAACTAACCTTCTCGGTGCATGTCATCTTCTCACTGGGAAGTAGGATGTCCCTTTCCTTGTTCGGCGCTCATTCGACGGAGCTTAAATGGCCATGGCTTTGAACAAACGTACTTTCAGCAAGTTTGTTAAGAGAGGTTGTCAGTAATTTTCGAGAATCCGGCGACAGAAGCAAAAATTCAACTTTTTTTTATTTGCTCAAAAAGACCCTTTTGGTAAATCGTTTTCAAAAATAATATTCAAAAGTTCCAGCCAGTTTTTATTTTGGAAAAAAATATGAAAGCTCGAAATCGGCCAAAACGTACCTAATTTGCATAATTTCTATTGGGCTTTTAGTGCAATTTCACAACGCTCGTACAAGACAGCGAAAAATTATCTTGGATTTATTTTTTCATAAGTTGTTTTTCATCCCTTGGAGTAGCTTTGCAACTATATTTCATCTCTAACTGAACTTTCTTTCGTTTGTAACCACCCGCGTAAAGTACACTATATTTTCTATTCCGTTTGTACGCTGAATTTTGCTATATTTCAGACGACCATAACATCGAGGGTATACAAATGTACATAAAATAAAAGAGCTCTTTTCAACGAGAAATTCTTCCTACGCGTAGAAGGCAAATCCAAGTAATGAAGCTTTCTAAGACCTCTGTAAACTAGAGACATTACGTAACGTCGAGGGGTCAAATATTTACACTAAATATGTGACCCTCAAGCAGATGACGTACTCGTACGTGTAACGTCCGAAAAATGTCACGCATGTATAACACAGTAGGCGCACCTGGCGAATTATATCCACTGGCTTCAATAGTGAAGAGACAACTTATTTACTATTCGTATATGAGCAAGCTTATTTACCCTACTTGTAAAACTCCTTGATGAAGTCTACTATTGTCAGACAAAATGCGTGGGAGATAAATACAAGTTTTTACTTTCTCAGTTCGTGCAGCGAGTTCGACAGAAAAATTAAGCTCACCCTGTCATAATCAATGATTAATGCCGTAAGTACCAATTTAGGTACATCATTGGGCTTTGATCACAATAATGAAAAAAATGTGCGTTTCCCCACGCTCGCCATATTTATTCTTTGGAAAATTATTTTACTGGAGGGCGATGTCACTTAGCTTGGTGCGTCTTGACTCTGGCCGACGAAAATTATCGAGGTGAACCCCATGAAATTCTTGTCAATTGTTTTATAAACTTTGTCTACCCTTGATTTGCACGCAATAAAAGGCAAATTCCAACCGATATTTCAAAATATTTTATTCACTGCTCATTTTATGACCTGTTTTATAATATTTCATTTTTCCCAGTAAATTTAAGAGAGGGTCAATTTTTTGTGACAGCCAAAGATAGACATCTCTGAAAAGTCTCTGAAACTCTTAAAGAATTTACACTGCCGGTAATATTTTCCTCCTTCTCGCAACAGCACAACAGACATTGCCAATCCTTTGTAGTGTAGGTGTATCAGTTGTATTACGTCTTCATAGTGATGCCGTATTCGAAATCGAGTGTCTAAAAAGCTCTCAATTCTCGCGCTGGCCAGGGAAGGCAACAGCTCACACCTCTAAACTGGTGGGTGTACGGCATAAAAAAAAAACATTTGAGGGACGTCAATGTATCCCAAACATGCGTTTCGTCCGAGAAGAAGCTTATTCTAGCGCGTATTGGCTTATTTGGAGATGACGAAGGCCGTGATTTCACGATATGCCTCAAATATCGTGCACAACTTGGTATGAGATTCAGACCTTCGGGTTTGTAATATGCCTCAAATATCGTGCACAACTTGGTATGAGATTCAGACCTTCGGGTTTGTAAATGCCAGTATCCTCGTCATAAAAATCGGACACGTAAAGTTGAGAGAGAGGTGAATCTGAAGATGGCAGAAGAAATCAAAGCTGGTGGCGAGTCTTCCTGGTGGCAAGCTGACTGTAAACCTAATAGAACGCGTACTGTAACTGCTATCTTAGAATCAGCAATGAATAGGGAAGAAGGGCAAGAAGAGCGCTTATCAGAACATCAGTTTTCCTAACTAATAATTTGTGACTGAAATGAACTTTATATCATATGATTGCTAGGGATACGTAGGTACTGTAGAGATGCTCACATAAATAGAGGTGGGCGACCCTCCCTCTGACTTTAGAACTGCGACAAGTTTATAGCGCAGACCAACTGGCACAGTTTGGAGCACCTCAGGGTCTTACTAGGCTCGCATTAGAAACCTTCAGCAAACTAATCGTAGAAGTGGGTGGTTATCAGCACGGATCCCTGAACGCGGGTCATCGCGAGAACTATATCCAATCCGTCACAGACAGAACAAGAAAGCGAGATATTCTTGCTAAGAGGAAGGATGTATCAAGACGTTTCAGTCATTGGCTGCCATCCAAAAGCACCCTAACAAAGGCAAACACGGTGAAGCTGACAAAAAATCCGCCATGATAAGATCAAGAGAAAATGGACGAAGACCGGCTTGCCATTTTAAAGGGGGTGGCTACGTTCAAGGTTGAACCTCAGGTAAACTTCTGACGAAACATCCCTAACTAGCTAAATGGACTTTGCATGGGCTCTTTGGAAAACACAAAAACCAGCCACCTTTTCTTAGAAAGCAAAGAATTATTTCCTTGACATGAGCTGGACAGGGGAGGAAACTAGTAAGGCAACCGCCTCTAACAAGGCAGAAGATAAGGAGTGACCTTGCAAATTTAGACGAAGACTGCAGGAGAGGGTACAGCTGCTATTAAGCTAAAAAAAAATAATAAAGATCTTTGCGTCTCACTTTTCAAAGTTGTCAAGTATTTGGATGAATCGAAAAGTCTAAAAACTCAGTCGTTTATTTGCCTCTGTTGATTAACAAGCCGTCGATCAAATTGACTGATGCTTGAGGTGGACATTAACTAAGGATCAAGAAAAACCAGGGGGTGGTCTATATCCCCCCCGGAAAAAACCAAAACAGAAACCAGTTTGTATTTTTTAGTTTTGGGGTAGATCCTTTAACCTGGCAAAGTTTCGTTGAAATCGGTGAGATTGAATGTAGCACGACTCACGACTGCCCGGTGCTACATGCCATTTTTCTCGGATTTCTTCGACAATTTTTACCAAAAGAATTCCAACCTACAGTTGATTTGAAAATGTATCTAAACAGGTGGACTACACAAACATACTGTTTTACAGTGACAGTGGTAGAAATCTACAAAAGCAACCGAACAAATCACCGAGGTTCATGCACAATTAAGCGAGTATTTTCATGCGACAACTACATGTTTCGAATATTTTAAGTGTGCGAAGATTTTATTTAGCTCACGCTCACGTATTTACAACAACATTTATAGCTAAATGTAATTTACTCTAAAGTTATGCCAGTGGGATAGATTGTAAATTAAAGAACAATATATGCGACGGGCCAATTTCAGCTAAAAACACGTCGACAGAGCTGGTATCTTTGTAAACAGCGATTTGTTTATTTAGCACTCGAGAAAAGTCAAAAACTTTACCTAAAACGGTGGTTTGTTCACTTAACAATAAAGGTAGGGTTAATTTTTAAGTTAAAATCGATATATTTAAATGAATCAAAACTGAAGTAGAGACCAAACACGTCGAGTTTTGTCCCAATAGCGTGCGATTTGCAGTAGGAGTACAGTAAGGAAAATGGCCTAACTCCGTGAAACTGCAAGCTATATATTTTGGTCTGGCGCGCTCGCTTTTCACGGGCCAAAAATAATATTTTTACATGATAAACACGAAGAATTTCTCGTTGAAAAGAGCTCTTTTATTTTATGTACATTTGTATACCCTCGATGTTATGGTCGTCTGAAATATAGCAAAATTCAGCGTACAAACGGAATAGAAAATATAGTGTACTTTACGCGGGTGGTTACAAACGAAAGAAAGTTCAGTTAGAGATGAAATATAGTTGCAAAGCTACTCCGAGGGATAAAAAACAACTTATGAAAAAATGAATCCAAGATAATTTTTTGCTGTCTTGTGCGAGCGTTGTGAAAATGCACTGAAAGCCCAATAGAAATTATGCAAATTAGGTAAGTTTTGGCCGATTTCGAACTTTCATATTTTTTTCCAAAATAAAAACTGGCTGGAACTTTTGAATATTATTTTTGAAAACGATTCACCAAAAGGGTCTTTTTGAGCAAATAAAAAAAAA